ACCCCCGCAACCCATTGCCAGCCAGGTGGTTCTAACAATCTCCCAAGAGCCCCGGTGGCGCAGTGGTTATGCATTGGGCGGCGAACCACAAGGCCAGCCCTGCAGGAAAAAGAAAGATTAAGAATTACTAAGTCGCCGAAACCCGCAGGCACAGGTCAACCCTGCCCTATCGGTTCGCTGTGGATGGAACATTTTGACACCTACATTTTAAGGGAAAGCCTGAGCATCGCTGGTAAGATTGGCAGGGGCAACGCACCGCAGCTGGGGCAGGACGCTGTGAGCCACAGCTAGAGCAGCCCTGGGGGGGCCTGTGCAAGCACCCGTGTGTGTATTTGTAGAAAGCGAGAGAGACAAAGGGGCGGAAAGTATGGTGGGTAGAGGGTGTTGTAGGGAACCAGAGACCCCAAATCTCAAATATAATTTCTGGAGAACACTTATTAAGTCTTACCAGGACGAAGGGATGGCAAAAAGACCCATCATGCAGACGAGAGACTGTCAGCCCCGGGTCTTAATGGCATGCAAGGATCTAGAGAACCAGAGGCTGACAGAGGACATGGGCAAGCAATGGAAACTGCCACAGAAGCATGATGCGGGGCAGATCAATACATCACAGTTGCAGGTCGGACGCAGCATCGAGACGTGATGACTTTATGCTAGACAGAAACACTTGCGTGATTGGCTCAGGGCTTCGGCCGATTGGCTCGTGGCACCATGAGACCCCAATGCCCCACTTTCATCCAGGACACACTCAGGCAAGTCTTCAGGAGAGAGTCTGCCTCTCCCCCACTTTTAGCGAGGGACATGGTGTAGTAATCCACTTCCTTTCCAAGACATTCTGCCTGCGATCAAGGCGATTGATTGACAGTGCAGGTTAATAGCTCTGGTTATGCAGCTCACTGTCCGGAGTTAAGTCGGTAGTGGTCAGAAACTGTAATAGGTGTAACGGAGGCTTCCTTCACGTGGAGACGCAAAATGGATGGTATTTAGGTTTTTCAAGGCAAACCCTAGCCCTCCACAACTTAGTGTTCAGGGTCGGAGCTCTAAGACAAGGGAGTCCCCCCTGCATGTTGGACTTGGGTGTGTGTGGGTCAGGGGATTGAACCTCAAGCCCTGTGACTCCCCTCCCTGGGTGGGAGATATGCGCCATCCCTCCCCCAGACTGAGGGCCCCTGCTTCCTGTCCTCAGCTGGTATGCAGATATAGTCTCCGAAAAGAGGTGGAACAGGGTGGGGTGCTTGGGCCCTAGCACAGCCCCTCAGCTGGGCGGGGCTGGCAGCTTCTGCTGACTCAGGGACATTTCGAGGCCTGGCCTCTGGGCCAAGGGACTCATTGAAAACAGCTGTTCATCTTGGCTGGCTGCCCTGTGGGCAGCCTGCTCTCCCCAGGATGACCCCTTGCTTTTGCGTGCCTTGGAGTGGGGGTTGAAGGGCGACATGCTCAGCCGCTGGAGGCTGCCCTGCCATGCCTTCAGGGATCTAGAAGCTTGCCAGCTGGCCCCAGCAAAGGCCCCCCTCACTCTTCCACACGCCACGGCGGGGCTGAGGCCGGCTGCTTGCATTCCTGCCTCTAGCCTTTGCCCTGCGGCTCCTCTAGCCTGGACCCGCTCCTTGACCTGGTCTCAGCCTGTGGCCAACTGACAGTTGTTGAGAGCCTGCCCGCCAGGCACTGTGCTCGAACCCGTTACTTATTGCTTCCTGTCCCAGTGAGCCCTCTGACATGGAGAGCAGCCGCCTTCTCTGAGGCCAGGCCACTGGCTGCCTCCCTCCACTGCCAGGGGAGTCGTGGGGAGCTGCTGGTGTGGCTGAGAGGCCTGCTCCCTAGAGGCGGGCTGTGGTCGCCTGGGCTTTGCCCTCAAGACTCCACCAAAGCCTAGTGTCTTAGGCAGCAGGGAGGGGAGAGGAGACTGAGGGGACAGTGGACAGGAGGGGTGGGGTGGGGAGCAGAGTCTTCAGGGCAGGGCATGTGTTGGAAAGCGCCAGCTATCTTGAGCATAGCTCTAAAGCTGTAGAGTTATGAACCTGAATCACCAGGGGTGATGGATTTTGGGGGGAGCCCGGACGTAGGGGTTAGAGATTCCTGGCACACTTCAGGTACTGGGAATGCCCTTTTCTGTCTGACCCCTCACCAGTCTTGGGATGATCTAAAGGGGATCTCACGGCCTCTTCTGCACCCGTGTAGATGTGTTGCTCACTACTTTTCCAAGACCTGCTCTGTGAGTTTCGCCCAGTGGTTCTCAACCTTCCTCAAGCCGCGACCCTTTCATACATACAGTTCCTCATGTGGTGGTGACCCCCCAACCACAAAAGTATTTTCGTTGCTACTTCATCGTTGTCATTTTGCTATTGTGAATCAGGTGGCCCCTGTGAAAGGGTTGTTCCACCCCCAAAGGGGTCGTGACCCACAGGTTGAGAACCGCTGGTTTCGCCCATCGTAAATGCCAGGGCTTGCCTGACATCCCTGCGGTAGCTAGCACTCCCAGACTCTGCAAACACACTACCACGGAGTCGGGGTAGAACTGCCCCTGTGGGCCTCGGAGACAGTCGCTCTTTACGGGAGTAAGAAGCTTAGTCTTTCTCCTGCTAGCTAGTCAGTGCTTCATAAATGCTTGTCACCCTCTTAAGGTGAGAGAGCCCAGGGAGGGTAGCCAAGATGGTGATAAGGAGGGTGGGCTAGGGGTCCATTTTTAGGCTGATGGGTCAGAGGAGTTCTTGGCTAACACCCCTAGGAGAATAAGGAGAAAGGACCAGCGTTTAGAACCACCAGGAGGACCTGGCGACCAAGACATGGTGTTGTGCGTTTATCAGCCTTCCTTTGGGTACAAGGGAGAGAAACCCAGTGCTCATAAGCTTTGCACAAAGGGATGGACTATAAGAGCCGGTGTGGCTTCAAAGGATCCTGGGTGATTCACGGAATGGAGCTCATATTGTACTTGCATCAGGATTCACCTCCTCTCCCCTCATCTCTCAACCCTGCGTATCTCTGGGCCTCATTCTGTTCTTGTCTACAGCACCCAGGTCTTTAGTTTATGGTACGAAGGGTCTAGGCCGAATGGGGTCCTGAGGAGCGAATGGCGCAATTATGGAAGAAAATAAAGAAGATAGACAGAGCTCAGGGGACCCCTCTCCATTATCCAGAGAAGAGAATCAGGAGTTTATTCAACAACAACAGGGTTTTATAGTACTGAGCCAGGCAAGCCTCTGGCTAACACATAAACACAATCAAGTGGCAATGTGCTAATCTTGGATATCCTGATCCCTCAAAGGGAATATACATCAAAGGGAGCACCAGGTATGCAAGAGGCAAGAGGTGTGAATTGCTCCTTAAGAATAAGAGCATCTTTTAACTGCCGTCTTTTCAGTAGGAGACAGCTTTATATTGTTTTATGGGGGGTGGATGTGGACAAATGTCCTCCCTGGAATCCTGGCGTTGCTGGAACACATGCTCTCTCTAGGGCTGGCTTCTGAGTCCTGGGGTCACGAGTGCTAGGAGCAGGTCATGTACCCTCTCTTCCAGGTGCCCAGGTTCACCGCGATGGTAGGGAACTTTGCCGCTGGCAAATTCCAGGTTAGAAATGTCCACCGAAAGAGACAATTGTCGGTCTTCCCGCCCAAGAGTGAGCCAGTGTGCTCAACCACATAGCCAGCGATGCAGGGCATACAAAGGGGCTTCACAAAGTTTGTGAGCAAATAGAATGAAAAGATCATTTCAATTTCTTCATAAACTCTTTGCAGCCTATGTGGTAAGATGAAGGAGATGGGCATTTGTTGGGAAGGGAAGGCCAGAGACTATGGGCAGCTCAGTGAGGTCAGACCACCAAACCCACTGCCATCGAGTCATGTAGGGTTTCCGGGAGTAAATTTTTACGGGACAAGACAGCCTTATCTCTCTCTCACGGTGGGGCTTGTAGATGGAACCTTGCAGTGAGCAGCCCTCTGCTTGTCCTCTCGCACCAGCAAGACTCCTTTCAGTGAGGTCAAGGATTGGGCTGTTCACCTTCATCTCTGCGGTGTCGAGCCCAGCAGCCTAGCTATCAAACTGTTAAGTCACTGGGATGGTGTCCCTTGGTTCTTGCTTCTCGACACCGAAAGAATTCACACGGCAGAAGCACTTTGTAAGTCCAAATAACTTTTATGAGGGAAAGGGAAGTTTTGGGTAATATAGTCTCAGTACACACTCTCCCTGGAAAGCATGCAAGGCCCCAGGGGGGAGCCGGGGTGGGGGGAAAATGGCCATGCAGAGGAGTCCACAGAACTGAAAAAGATAGAAAAGCTGGGAATAGAAAGAGTGCGGGCCCTTAAGATAAGGTGACCGGATTTTAACATTGGTAAAGCGGGATACCAGCGGGACACCATTGATAAAACTCATATCCTGGTGAAATAGCCACATGGCAGCCGAAAACCGTATACCCTAGCTTGTCGTGAATTCTTTCCAAAAATTGGGACTTTTTTACAACCCCACGGGACACAGGGAAACTTGTTAAAAATTGGGACTGTCCCGCCAAAAGCGGGACATCTGGTCACCTTACCTTACGAGGACTTTGCCTCTCCCCAGAGTGCCTGCCCTCTAGTTCAGCAGAGAGCCTGGAGCCACCTATGAGAAGTCCCCTCAACCTCTGTCTTGCTCCCCACTTCTCCTGCAGGTCAGGCCCCTCTTCGGCTCCCAAATCTTCACCCTCTTCTCATTTGCTGCCCAGGGTCCAGATTCCTCACCTTCTTCCTCACATCCTTCAGTGTCTTTGGATCTCAGTGTGGACATGCCTCTCTGCACCAGGAGGGCACCGGATGCCCTCCTGTGCTCCCAGCCATTTGGGGCTTTAAGGGCTGTTTGTCCTCTCCTGCCATGGCCTGCTGTTCTTCTCTCCAGGCATTAGAGACCCCTGAAGGCAGGGACGACCCTGTGTGTTTCCCGTGTCCAGGGTTGTATAGAATATACCCTGCAATATAGCAAGAGCTCCAGGAAGAAACGTGGATTTGAACCCAGAACCTAGGAGCTCTGAGGGAGGGGGGTGGGCTCATGTGGCAGAAGAGGAAACCCTTTGGTCTCTGGGTCTCGGTTTCCTCATCCGTCAAGGGAGTAGCAGTTGACCAGGTCCTGGGGTTGACTTCTCCTGACTACTATGGGCCTACTTAGGACCCTTGGTCGACCACTTATGGCAGCTGCAACAGTCTGATTGGAGTCTTGGAAGCCCCTGGGGTGGGTTTTCTAGTTGGGCAGGAGGGGAAGCTAGACTCCCCTAGGGCTGTTTGAGCTTCCCTGTCCAGCCCTGTCTCTGGGAAGCCTCTATAAAAGCAAGCAACATTTTCTCCCTCTTCCGCTCCCAGGCCCTTTCCCTACCCCCTGCCAAGGGCCACTATCTGTTTCTTCAGGAGGGGCATTTCTGAGAATCAAATATGCAGCTCTGAAAGGAAGTTTGGGCAAATCTGGGTCAAACCCTGGAGTATGCTTGGAAGGAAGAAGCAAGTTGAAGGGATCGGGCCAGAGACACTGACGGGGAAGCAGAATTAACTATGGCAGTTGCCTTAGTGGTCTTTCAAGGAGTTTAGCTCTGTCTGTCCAGACAGGACCTCCGTCCCCGTGCTGGCAGAGGGCAGAGGGACCAGCGTTCTTTCGCCCTTCCCACCCAATGGGACCAGTGGCATTTTGAGTGCTTAGCAAAAGAAGGTAGCTGTGGTTTAGATCATTTAGCCTGTCCACTAGGAGGAAGAACAGAAAGATGGGCTGGTTGGTCCTGATTGTTATCTATTCATGACATTCACCTGTCTGCCCCTTCAGTATTTATTAACGCCCTGGTCATGCTGAGGGCGAAGCACTGGACTGAGAACCATAAGATGGCAGTTCAAATCCACCGGTCGCTCTGCAGGAGAAGGACGAGGCTGCCTTCTCCCAGACAGATGACAGTCTTGGAGAGCCTGGGAGTCACTATGAGGTGGAATTGACCCCACGGCGGTGGGTTATTGTTAGGCAAACCCAAGCCACAGAGGCAGTCCCGACTCTGAGTGACCTTATGGGGCAGCAAGGGAACAATCAGGCGTCTGCTCTCCGAAGACTTAAAATTTCAAAACATGCCAAGGGGCGGTTCTACTCTGGCTCACAGGGTCACAGATGAGTAGTCCGAATTGGCTTGATGGCTGTGTGTTGTTACTGCCAGGAAGAGGGGAGTCACAACAAGAGGGAGATGGGGGCGGACAAGACGGTCTTCAAGGAGCTTATGAGTTAGGGAAGAGATATGAAAAATAACCAAGAATATATCAGATAATGACCTCTGGTACTGAAAATGGTCCAGTATCTTGAATCAAACTAACTGGCCAAGAATGTTTATAGAGTCAGGATAAGATCTAAAATATAGTGGTTTGAAGGCAGTATCAAAAACAGGCTGAGGCTCCATTAACTACTGTCTTCTTTGTCATGAGACCAGAAGAGATGGATAGTGCCCGGCTTGCATTACTGAATATTTTAAGGACTCAAGATCTTGGTCAAGAGGATGCAAAAAATGTGGAAGAGAACATCAAATTCTTATTAGAAACCAGACTGACTGTATTCATGGAGACAGGAGGAAGCCCTGGATATATTGCCTGAAGCCCTTGAACCAGAACCAATCCTATGAAGTCATCTTTAACTAGGCAACTAGGTCATTTAATAAAGAGCGTCTGCCGTGAGTATTGTGCTCTTCTAAAGAATTCTCTACAGGAGATGAATGGAAGACAGTAGATCTAAGACACAGATGAGAACTTCGAGGAACAATAGTCTTCAGTTAACAATGATGAAACGGTATGAGCAGAGAGGGTGACACAATGTAAAACAGTGATGTCTATGTCCGCTGGGAATGAACTATGAATGTGAAAACTGTTGAATGGGTGTATGTTGTATTCTCTGTCTCTCTCTCTCTCTTACACACACACACACACACACACAGCAGGAAGATGGAAACAGTCCTTCAAAGACGAGACTCAAACTGAGCGATGCGTTGAACTGGTTTCCCCCAGAGCACTACGCAGTGTCAAGTACTGAAGCCGAAAATGGCCGTTTCCCTGGTCTTCAGAAACAGAAGTCAGTCAGAGGTTGGGGTTACAAAAAAAACTTGAGAGAAAATCCCAGAAAGGAAAGAGCCAAAAAGATGGCCATGGCTGTTTGGGCCGGGTCCGAACTAGGCGGCCCTGTTTGGTCTAAGCCGAAGCAGGTCAGGGCCCTGCATGTGCTTCCCTGCACATCCCAAAGGTCAGCAGCAGAGGACGCCAGATAAGATAACCGGTGAAACCAGATGTTCCAGGTTTGAAGAAAGCCGCAAGGAGTCGACAAGCAATTCTCGGAGTGTCCAGACCCCATATGCTAATTGCCATAATTGCCATACATTCCTCACCACCCCTTTAAAAACCCGCACCCCCAGCTGCTGAGCAACACTTCCCTGACCTGTTGGCCTGGGTCACGGACCCTCATCCAGGGAGCTCCCCTAATAAAGCTATTTCTGTGTCTGCTCTCCCTTGTCCTGTCAGTTATGTCTGTCTGTCTCCCTGTGCCTCAGTTTCACCTTTACATTTGGTGCCCAAATCCCGGGAGAGGTAGGGACATGGGCTCCTGTGCCGTCCCGGCCCTGCTTCAGCTGGGACGTAGCCCGCCCCTCCCCTCCTCTCGAACCTCTGGAGCCTGTCTGAACGAACGAGCGACTTCTGGTCAGTATCTCTCTGTGTATGTTTGTTTTGTCTCGTTTGTCGCTCTGGACACCGAGGGCCAGCAAACTCATATGGGAACTTAGGGTCCGCGGGAGGCTAACAGGCTGAAAGCCCTGAAAAGCAAGTACGCTAGGGAGCTGAACGTGGCGCCGCTGCAGGGGTTTATTCTGCAACCCTCGTACCAAGAGGAGCTGGAAATAACTGCCTTTCCTGAAAGGGGTGTGAGTAAGGCCAGTTTCTCGTGTCCATCTTTTCTCTGTGTCTCTCTTCTCTCATGTGGCCTCCAGCCTTTTGTCTCTGTGTTTACCTCCCGGGAGTCCTGCTGATAACAGGACACCTAGCCCTAGGCCGAGCAGTCACTGCACCTTCTGCCAGGACTGGAACGCAAAGGGTGTGTCTGAGCCTCTTCTACCTGTTTGTGTGTTTTGAATTTGCGGCCCTGCAGTGCTTTTTCTAAAATGTTCTGCTTCCCCTTCCTCTCACCCTGAACAAAGGCCTGACCAGCCTCCATTTTTACCGGCCATGAAGCCAGGCCCCCCACCACTCCTCCGCTTCCATTGTGTCTCTCTGATCCGAGGTCCCTGTCTGCTGGACAAAAGCCACAGATCTGCGCCAGAGAACCTTCCTGTTCTGGAGAGTCCAGAACTCTCCCACTGGGCCCCTAGCTCTGACCGGGACGCCTCTCAGGGTTACTGGGCCACCCTCTGACTGATGGGTGGGAATTGGGACCTGGGGACGCCCTTCTCCTCTGTCCGTACCCCCTGCAGTTTGAGGCACAATGGGAAGTCTTCTGTCCCAACCCCCTAAGGACAGTCCTTTGGGGTGCCTACTGCCAACCTTATTGAATTGGGTTTGGCTCTTGATCTCCGCCTTAAATGCCTGGTCTTTTTCTGTAACCAAGTTTGGCCTCAGTACCAATTGGACACATAGTCAGAAGTCCCATATG